CCTCCTCAAAAAGCTTAATCCATTGTTCGGAAAAGGCACCGCCGGCGCCGTCGTTGCTTTTCAGAAAAGGATTCTAATGGAGATTTCGTTGGCCGTTCCTGTTCTTGGCGCCTCTCTCCTCTAATAACTACCTTTAATTAGCTCAAGCATGTAAAATCATTTGGTTTTAGTTATTTCTGTTAAAATGGCAATATTGAATTTAATGCTCTCCATCATATTATTATTATTTATTTATAGTTGAAGTTGCCATTTGAATTATAAATCTATATACCTAATTTCGWTTTTTTAGTACAATATATTGGGAGAAGATTTGAACTCATAGCCTCGAAATACACATTCTTATTATTATTTATGACATTTGTTAAATTATAATATATAATTTTTGTGATTACTTTAGCTTTTTAGTTTAAAATATATTGAAAATCGACTCTAAATATTTCACAAATGTAGGACCTTTATGAAAAAAAAGACTAATATCTTTAACAATTAATGAAAATCTACTTTTAAAATAAACTAAAAACATAATATTTCAAATCTAAACTCAATTAATATTCACATACAACACATACTATTTTAGGCTAATCTAAAAGGAAATTATAAATAAAAATATCATATCATTATGAAAATATAAAAAGATTTGATCATCCAAATTGTAATTTCGTTTGGTTAGTTTTGATTTTGGTAAATACATTCATATTTCGAAAATAAGAATGGTTTTTGTTGTTAGATATGTCTACAATGATCTCTTTCTCATGGGATTTCATATAGTATATTAAATTCATAAGCCGAATCCCAACTACAAATTTTGGAAGTTGCCAAAGTTCACAAATTATATTTAATGGTGATTTGAGAATAATTAATAATGGGTCAAAGTTGTTGAGAAAAGTTTTGTTAGTGATGCATCAACTTTTGTCAATATCCAAGAGGAAAACGACAGACACAAGAACCTTTACTTAAAAAAGTTGTTAAAACAAAAACCTTAAATAATTATACTTTTCTGGACAACCTAATTTTTAGTATATATCTCAAATTAATAGATTGGAAATTTATCTTCCACTCCAACATGTTATACTAAAAAAGGGTTCATATCGAAAGGAGTAGATTCGAATTTCAGGTCTACATTTGTTTTTTTTTTACTCCAACCATGTTTGTAATTTTATATTTTAAAAACAAAATATGAGTAATATGTCTTAAAAAAATGAAAAATTTAAAGTTTAACGAAGTGGGTGAGAACTTGAACATCTCGGACCAAAATTGAAGATATATATCTTAACAAATTGGACTATAGACCATGTTAGCAACTAGATTTTTTTTTTCAAATATATTAATACTTATTGAAAAATATGATAATTTAATAATTTAATATCTTTAATAACAAAAATTATTCAAAGATTAATTCAACATCAGATTAATTCAACAACATCACTATCAGAATATCATATGATATTTTGATTAATATTTATATAAATTTTACCGAGTGTTTGATAGTATTACTAAATTAAAAACAAAAAATGTATGGAAATAATTGAAAATGGATCATTTCCTTCTATGATAAAACCGAGCATAGTTCAAGTGGTTAAGACACCTGACCTTCTCTAACCAAAAGGTCATGAGTTCAAACCCTCACCCACATGTTGTGCTAAAAAGATAAAAAATAATGTCTTCATTTAGGCCATGACTAATTACTTGGCCAACCAGTGCATTAATTTGAAATTATCATATAATTACCCGATAATCAATTATTCACGTTTTGTTAATTTGACAAASTAGTTAGAGATTTCTTTAGAGAAAAAAAAATCAATTTGTAAATAGAAATTTTAATTTATTCTCCATATCTGGTGAGATATATATTAATTTATATAACAATTTAAATTTGGAAAGGTCATTAATATTTTTGTTGGGCCATGCTTTCCCCTTGCTTTCAATTTAGTAATCTACTCGAACACTAAACTGGTGCAAGAAAATATTCATTGTAAATATGTCAAATCCAAATATTTTAAAACCATTTTTCGCTATAGAAAAATTGGCGAAAATTGTCAAGCTCCAGGGCCAGCTAAAATTGGCTATTGGGCTGGGCTTCATGTTCTACCAAAATTTCGCAAGGCCCAGGTCTTGCTGGGCCGATTCTACTAAAGTTCCTCAAGGCCCAAGTCTTGATGGGCTTCATATTCTGCCATAGTTCCTCAAGGGCCAAGTCTTTCTGGGCTTCATGTTCTGCCAAAGTTCCTCATCGCCCAAGTCTTTCTGGGCCACGGGTTCTACAAAGCTCCTCAAGACCCAAGTCTTTTTGGACTTCATTTCTACCAAAGTTCCTCCGGGCCCAAGTA